GCCGGGGAGCGAGGCAGGCGCAACGTCGAGGAGGCGAGGGCGTGGCAGGGGGGGGGGGGGGGGGGGGGGGGGGGGGGGGGGGGGGGGCGGGGGGGGGGCGGATCCACCAGAATACAACATATATATACTTGCAATGATTTCAGGAATCTCAGCTCACTATCACCAAGAATTCTTTCTATCTCTTCTATATCTTTCAACTCCCGTCAAACAAATGGAGCGATTCGACGTTGCGGTTATCGGCCTCGGTGCCCTCGGAAGCGCCGCAGCATATCAAGCGTCCGCCAAAGGAGCCAAAACTCTTGGCCTCGAACAATTTGAGCTGGGTCATGTTCGTGGCGCATCGTCTGATACTTCACGTATTATCAGAACCTCCTACGGCTCCCCGCAGTACGTTGCACTTGCGCAAGCGGCTTACAAGGATTGGGATGAGCTGCAGAAGAATGCTGGAGTTCAACTTGTGCAGATTACCGGCGGAGTTGTGTTGCTGCCAAGAGGAGGACAAGCTTCCTCTGCTAGTGAATTCACAGCGAGTCTTGATTCTTGCGGCGTGAAATACGAGCTTCTAAGCTCAAAAGAAGTTAACGAACGTTGGCCTGGATTCAAAATTGCCGATGACATCGATACTGTGTACACAGCAGATACTGGTATCGTTCATGCTAGCAAAGCTGTGACTGCCATGCAATATCAAGCTCGTGCCAATGGAGCCATTCTGAAGGAAAACCATCGCGTCGACAAAATCACCCCCGAGGGAAACGGCAACGGCGTAGTTATTGAAACCTCCAAGGGTCGATTCTGGGCAAAAAAAGTCATTCTTTCAGCCGATGCCTGGGTCAACAAGCTTCTGAGGCCTCTTGGAGCTGAGATTCAAGGATTGACAGTTATGCAAGAGCAAGTTACCTACTTCAAACCCTTGGATCCTGAACGCTATGAGCCAAAGAACTTCCCTGTGTGGATTTGGGGTGACAACCCATTATATTACGGATTTCCGGCATACGGAGAGCCAAGTATAAAAGCAGGTCAAGATCGACAGCGAAACGTGATGCATCCGGACCATCGTACTTTCGCTCCATCGCCAGAGCTACTCAACAAGTTGACCAAATTCATGGACACTATTATTCCCGACCATGGGCCCGAGCTACGAACCGTTACGTGTCAATATGCGGTCACACCGGACCGACAGTTCATGATTGGCCCCTTGAAGAATCACCCCGACATTATCTTGGCCCAGGGCAATGGACATGCATTCAAGTTTGCTCCTGCGATCGGCCGAGTGGTGGCGGAACTCGCAATTGACGGCAAGACGAAGCAGGACATTTCCTTGTTTCCCGTCCAAGACCCGAGCAACGGCCCCCGACGCGCCATGAGCAGCCATTTGTAGACAAAGTGGTGCTGTATGTCCATTGATCCAGGCCGGAGGAGATTTTCAAGCAGATGGGGATTCAAGAAAGTAGGATACAAAATACAATCTTCTTCTTTCCACCCATAGCACATTAAGTCGTTTCGCCCCATAGAAATCAACTAGAACCAGTGGAATTCTCTAGCTTTTTACAATTCACCTTTTTACGACTGATTTAGGCTCGACGCGCAAAAGGCCTTTCTCAACGCAATCACATTTAATGCGCCTTCGTATTCACATATCACTGTCCCTAACGCCCCCGGGGACAAGAGACTCGGCAACCGTGCCCATACCTTCCAACCTTGTTGTGGTGCGCAGGCAGAAATCCCATAAATACATAGTATTGTGAGGTTCTAATCGACAGGACGAACTAATATGGAGACCCACTTAAGTCAAGCTCCAAGCTTCCGAAGTCGCAGAGAACCCGAATCAGCTCCTGTTTCCTATTTAAGTCTAGCCCTGATCATCACATCTGCTGAGCCTAGGGGGCGAGAGAGAAGAAGAAGCGGACAGAACCGATTGTATTGACTCTCTGGAGAGGGAGAGAGAGAGAGAGAGAAGAAGCAGGGAGAAGCGGGGAGCGGATCTATCTAAAAAATAGGGTTGGGACAAACTCCCTACACAAAAAAACGGAAGGCAGATCTCACGAGTTCGAGTTATCAGCGCACGACCACGCAGAAGAACCAGATGTTGCCTTGCTTGAAGCAATAATGTTGACCACCGATGCATACGTTCCAGAAACCATTATAAATGTTCCCCCAACAATGATCAACACATTCCAACCAGATAAGAGCATCCATTTGAAATTTGGTAGCTGTCTGCCACTCTTCCAATTATCATATAGCCACATGCAACCCATTGGCTGGAATGACATGAATGTTCCGAGAAGGGCGCCGATGAGTGAGACCAAGTCTCCGAATATAGGGATGCCGCTCGCAATTAGGTAGGAGGATATGGTGATGAAGAAGGTGCATCCGAGCCAAGTGGCCCAATGTTTGAAGGTGTTGGCAGTGAGGTGCTCGGAGCCTCGTAGGATGCGAACGAAGAGGTATTTGCTTGAGAACTTCTGGCTGTTAGTATACTGCAACTTGAAGATGCAAGAGCTCTTATCACATCACTTACATGTAAAACGATCACTGTACTGACTATGAGGCCAGGAAGCGCTATTCCATAGGAAACCTTTTTGATGAGTGTCCCGGCAGATCCAAGCGCTGGAGAGGAAACGTATGAGCCACAGTAGTAATAAATAACGGTTCCGATCGACAGATAGATGGCGGTTATCGTGCACTGACACGCAAGTAAAGATCTCGTATAAGTTGTAGGATCGCGCATTTCGGCTGCGATGGGAAAGAATCCTTAACAATCTGTTAGTACTGATTTATTTCAGGGTTCCAATGTGTTTCTGATGGAGTTTTGGAAACTCACCAGGAGTGCCAGCGTAGGCAAAGATGGTAGAGGCCACAGCAGTCATTGCTTTGGTAAAGGATGGCTTGCCCACAAGCTTATAGTCCGACTGCCAATTTTCGATTTCAGACGCAGCTGGAGGGCGTCCTTGTAGACCTACCGCGATTGTGGTAGTGAGCACTATCGATGTGTCAGCGGGAATCATATGGTGAGAGTCAAGTACCAACCAGCGACAAACACAGATGCAACTCCAGCCCAGGCCGTCCATTTCATCTTTCCCAAAGTGCGGATACTGCCCACGCTAAAGGCAGCGACGGCAGAAACTGCAACAAAGACGGCAGTACACGTCCCATGTGCAGAGACTGCATTCAATCCAATCGATGTGCTCAATAATCCAGAACCGCAACAAAATATCCAGTCTATGATTGAAGAGTCAGAGTGTTCAAAAGGCAAAACATCACCGAATACCCACAAACACAGACCATGAATCCCAATATCTCTCGACCCACTCTTCCAAACATCAGGTCTCCTGCATCATCAATCGAGTATACTTCAGGATGGTTCAACTTGAAGGTACCGATGACATAGTTTGACCAGGTAGTTACCGTGGCAATAGCGATCACACATACGAAGCCTGGGATGATTCCCAAAGCATCAAACACCTGAGGAATGGAAAGAACACCAAGACCGAACTGAGTCTTGATCATGAGTGCCATCGCGCCCAGCGTACCAACCTAAGAGGCAGTCAGTCAAAGTTTGAGCATAGTTGAGTGAAACTTTAGAACTCACGTTTCGGTAGTTCGGTCCATCTTCAGTTATCACACCGAAAACTGCATCCTCTTGCGCGGGCAGGCTTTCACCTGGTTTGGATGGCTCGTCCCCCATCTCGACCCCTGATTTAGTAGAATCTGGCATATTGAGGCCCTGTGAGAAAACAAATCAAAGTGATTCTGTGTTGTATGGAATGAGAGAGCGATAAGCAGACTGAGTATAGCCCAGTGTATTTTCGTCTTTCCGAAAAAGTCCAAGGGTGATGGTAGCTTTATTTAAGATATCCCGAAGTGTCGCCTTAAGTATGTTTAAACCTAAGCCCAAGTCGGAGAGGAATGCCCTACAATGCCATTAAACGGCAACACCGGTTACGATTGACATTAAATGACATAGCATCATAACGGCAAAGGAGGTTACAGGCTGGTGTACCCCCAGCGTGAAACCGTCATACTGTCTTCTATCGCCCAATTACAGAATGTGAATCGGATGTTCATAGTCAACGGAACCCCGAGGCTGGAACTTCATCCTTGTACCTCCGCAAAATGAATGCATACTCCCATTCGCTGGGCTGGTGTGAGCTAGTGGGTCCTACTACGGCCATTATATCCGAGGCCGGATCATTTTATGGGCTCGGAAGGGCTGGGCAATCTGCCATCAGCTTCAATTGAAAATTGGCGGGGTAAAAAAAAAACAAGAAAAGACTTAGTGGCAACGCTATGGAATATTGGTGATTATATGATACGTTGAGCGCGATGTGATGTGTACACCACTTCGTAAAATGCACTTCTCTTGTATTAGGAGTGGGTCCCTCATGTTCGCGCTTGACGGTCGATAAGATATTTTCCTCTATGAAACCACTCCTTCTCAGCCTCACATACCACTATCGTTGGAATGAACTATATTTGAGAAAGAAACCCGAAGCCACGATGGGAATCTCTCGTTAGTCTCACTTCACTCCTCGAATGTTGATCATTTCCAAAGCTTCTTAAGTTTCCAAAACTTTACCATCCAGCTTGTCTACAGGGCCAAGGTCTGGAGGTTTAGGGTCTATGAGCACAAAAAACTATGCCTTATCGTAGGTGATATGAGTTGAGCCATGGAGTGAATGCTCGCAATCTCCAATATGATCTTGCCTCGATGAAGGGTGGCTCTCAAATTCTATTTACCTCTTCTATTGGATTTGTCATGTGTCATTGAGTCGAGATGTTTAATAGCTGCAGTCTTTTGTATGGAGCTATACACATACTGTTTAAGTATCAGGGGTATGAGTGGTTTGGGAAAGTGAAGTCGGAGTGAAATACCAAGGTCTCTATAAATGCGGGGTCAAGCTAAGTATCGATAGCTCCGAGGAGACACTTTCCTTTTCTCCTTTGAGGCCACGATTCTCCAGTTTCATAACGTTGGACCTACTCGTATCTCACATTTACTTGCTTTCCACATCAACCCCGCATCCCCGGATTGCCGAGTCTTGGAGGAGCCACGGCCGAACAGGATTAACAGCACTCTACCGCATGTCTTGCTCCTGTGACAACAGCAAAAAGGCAGTGCAACAGTGCTGAGTATCTATCAATTATTCGAGCTTCATAGGATGCCTCCCAAGGGGACCACCGACAAGCGCGTCGCTCGGAGAAACAGGCGCGTGGCGAGGGCGTATGCTCCGCTCCACCCGATACCATTTATTGTGCATAACTAACCCGATATTCTAGCTGTGGAAGATGCCGAGACCAAAAGATCAGATGCACGGGCTCCTATCCGTGTGATCAGTGTAGCAAGCGCAATTATGATTGTCACTTTGACAGCATGTCGGAAAGGGTTATGGTGACACGAAGGCGAGTCAAGCATATGGTGAAGTGAGATTACAGATCTAACTCGGCAGCCTATTCAGATATATCAACGATCTCCATGAACGAGTAGCTTCCCTGCAGTTTCGACTGAGTCGATCTTCCCGTCAAGACGCTACCGAGAAGCAGGTTGATGTTGATCAACCAGGTTAGTCTGAAAAATCGACCAAGGCCACGGACTTGAAGTGCTGAACTCCGCAGATGAGAACGCGAATTCATTCCTAACATTGGATGAAAATGAGGATCCCGATCCGCCGCCTGAGCAACAGGCCTTGGAATACAGTGCCCAAGATAGAGGAGAGGCAACAGCACCCCTTACAAACCCGTTGGCCTTTCATGTCACCGATTGGATTCAAGGACTTAGGGGAGAGCCTTGTAAGTATTGGTGTGTTGACGTAATGTGAGGACTTACACTGACTGCAACATCAGTGTTCATGGGCACGTCCTCTAGTTGGTCATTTGGTCGTCGTGTACTGGAAATGACCCATGCAACACTGACTGGAGAGTCGCTTTTGCCTGATATCAACTCCCAACTCTTTGATGGCCATGTATATGACCTCAATTGGGATGGTAATAAGGCCAATTATCAAGATATCTTCGATGTCTCGAATTTGCCGACTGCAGACTTTGCCAAATACCTCATCAGTTCTGTCAAATTCCATTGTGGGCAATTGTTTTATCTCTTTGAGGAAGCTACATTCATGGAAAGACTGGAAATCTTCTACCGAAACCCAGCGAAGGAAGCTCAGACTTCTCCTTTATGGTTCTGTCATTTTCTTCTAATTCTTGCTTTCGGAAAGATGTTTGTCATCCAGTCATCTAGGAAGCGCGGTCCTGCTGGGATAGAACACTTCCTTCAGGCTATGCAATGCATGCCGGATTTCAATTTCTTCAAAGCAGATCCGATCGAAAAAATCCAAGTCATGTGCTGCGGCGCATTATATTTGCATTCCATCCATCACCGAATGCCAGCTTATCGCATGGTAATGAAGGTCCCTTTTCTGTTGACCGAGCTCAATGTTGACGCTTCTAGATCGGTACCGGACTCCGACTAGCTCTGGAGGATGGCATGTACACTGAAATGCGCAGTAGCTGTCTTGATGAAGATTATGTGCAGCGATGTAACCTTGTTTGGTGGACAGTTTACATCCTGGAACGTCGGATGACATCTCTGCTGGGATTGCCAATCGGTATTTCAGAAGAGAGCATAACTGCTCCGTACCCTTCCATTCCGACACGAGCTCAGAGCCCGAATGTCATGGAGATGCAAGTCATTTTATGCCAAGTATTGGCAAAAGTGGACGCGAGTATGTTCTCCCTTAGACGACAGACTTCAGGATTTTCTAACAATCGATAGCTGTCTATGGCACCGAAGGCAAACTGGACAGTCGCTATCTGAGTGCCACTCAGTCAGTTCTCCGAGATATTGCTAAAGTCACACAGAGACTGAATAACTCGTTTGATTTGTACACAAACGGATCCATGAGCGGTACCTCTCGCATTTCAGCACACCTACACATCTTGGAACATCAGGTATGAAAATTTAACCATGACTTCAGGATATTTACTGCAAACTGCTGACTTCAACATAGTGTATCATTTTAACTACACGACCCCTACTATACATATTCCTACAGTCCAAACTGGGCCAGTCTGATCCTGCTTTGATGACATGGCTCAAGTCCGAGACTGTCAAGACCCTTTTACACATCTGCGTCGAGTCAGCACAACAGATTCTAAGAATTCTGTCAAGCCTATTAGAGCAAGGAATTCTAGGTATGTTAATTGATAAATCTACTACCTCGGAGTTATTTGTGCTAACTTACGAAGAACACTTTCTACCCTTCGACATGGATGCGGCATCCACGTCTACAATATCTCTTCTAATAGCCGCCGCGATTGATTCCTCTCTCCTTCGAGATCATTCGCCGTGGTCACAGCGTGCCCATAAAATATTGGATCAGATGGTACAACGTGGCAATCACGCGGCTAAATTGGTTCAGTCGGAGTTGAAGCAATTGGACGGCGAACTAGCTCAATTGGCAATGAAAGAAGGTGTGGAAACAGCCCTAACGAGAGAAGCCTATCATCAGTCGACAGGATTGGGTCAGTTTGTAGAGGCTGTCCCCCTGGTCACAGGTAGTGAGCAGAGTCCTTTGGAAGTGGAGTTGGATGAAGGCTTTGGGCAACACTACGAACTGAGCCCGAATCAGATGATGGACCTGGCTAACTCTTTAGATCTCAACAGCCTGAGCTGGCCGCTTTCTTCTATTCATGATATGTCTGGTCTTGGGATCTGACGTTTCTCTCATTTGATGTCTTCTTCTGCTTGAGATTTTGTTGTATTATTATTAGATATTGATATAGAGACCGAAATTCAAGCACCAATTAGCAGCGAAAGATAACAGTGCGCGCCTTAATCTATGTGTTCATAGCCTGCCTCATTTAGCATCGGTGATCTGTGATAGCTGATCTTCTCCACTTTGGTCGTTTGATATAATTACCACATTTCGAATAAGCAATACTCTTCTTACATGACCATATCGCATAGTATTTTACAATAAAATCGTTGAGATGTACATCGTAGCGATAGGAAGTACAACTATCCAATCAGATGGTCCATTCGGAGAAAAAGGCCGTAGTGCGGTTAAGCTACCGGTAATCCCGGGTTCCGGAATGCGGGGATGGGCCCGGTTCCAAGGTTTGCTTGGATTGGCGTATCAACCAGGCGGACAGTACCCCATTTGCCTCATTTGCAAAGCATTAGAAGACGTGGAGTCTACATCGTATCAATGATGTCCGACACTGCCGATCTGAGAGGTTGATAACGAACTTGAGGGAATATGGTGGTGGGAGACTTCCTTTCCTCATCGCGTCCATCCCAAAGCTTCCATCACTTGCCAGCATCAGAATAACCAAACCACGGTATTCAGCCGATTTCCTTCAATTTTTATATCAATCGAAATGACAATGGAGCGGTTCGACGTCGCAGTCGTTGGCCTTGGTGCCCTTGGGAGTGGAGCAGCATACCAGGCCGCAGTCAAAGAAGCCCGAGTCATTGGCTTCGAGCAATTCGAGCTCGGTCACGTCCGCGGAGCCTGACACGATGCATCCAGAATTGTTCGCACCTCTTGTAGCTCACCTGGCCATATTGCCCTCGCAAGATCAGCTTACAAAAACTGAGCTGAGTTAGAACGTCGATCAGGACTTAGGATGCTGAACATCACCGGCGGCGTTGTCTTCCTTCCAAGAAATGGTCCCACCCCTTCCAGCGATTTCACAAAGAGTCTAGACGCCAATGGAGTTCCTTACGAGCATCTTGATTCGAGAGAAGTAACAAGCGCTGGCCTGGGTTCAACATTCCTGATGGAATCGATGCTGTGTACACAGCGGATACAGGTATTGCTCACGCCCCAAAGTCTGTCACCACCATGCAGTACCAGGCACGTGCCAATGATGCCGTTCTCAGAGAGAGTACCCGTGTGGATCGTATCATCCCAGATGGCAATGGTGGGGTTATCGGTAATGGTCACGCCTTCAAGTTCACCCCTGCCATCGATCGAGTGGTCGTTGAACTCGCCATGGACGGGAAGACGAGTGACAATATCTCCAAATTCCCTATTAAAAGCGCCCTTGCTGTCAGCAAGCTGTAAGAAAAGCGGTTCTTGGGAGCGAGAGTAAGGAGCGCTTCACCTTCGGCCTCGCGCGTCTGCAATCGGACCAGTCTGTAATGTAGTAGTTGGCTTCGGGGCTTCTCCACGCCCATCTTACTTTATGCTTTCCCGGTCTTTCCATGGTATGTTCACTTCCATATGGTGTTGATGGCTGGAGGTTTTGAGTGTTGGGATCGTTCGTGGGAATTCGAAGCCCCTCTCTTTTCCTCCTTAGATCGATCGTGCTTCGTGGTTTCCCTCGCCATGTAGGCTAAGCGTAAAGGCTTTTTTTATCAGAAATTGGCGCTTGAAGCATGCAGTTGGATATTTGATTGGCTCAAAAGCTGCGGTTGGTGAAAAAGGTCGCATGAAGAATTGTCGCTTAAAGGTGAGGTTTCCGCACGACTGAAAACTTCCGCGGCGGATGTAGAAGGTGATAAAATTCTTCGGAGCTCTCTAAAATGAGATGCGATGTTAAAATAAAACAATCCCGGCGTCATAAACCAGTTGCGCCAAGATACCTTGAACGTCATCCCTTAGGGTCGCCACGACTAAGGAGCCAGGGGCTTGTTCCGAGATTTTCGAGGATTCTCGAATTTTTCGGCGGTTTGAGATGAAGCACAGAAGAATGGAAGGGCAGGGGGCGATGGAGTTGAATTGCGACCAAGTAGCACAGAGGCCAAGACAAGCAAATGTTATAAGGGGGTCTCCTAAAAACAGCCTTGGAGGGCTCAGGCAATTTGTTGAGATGGAAGTTCGTCCCAACCCTCGTTTGCTTAGTAGATAAACCCTCCTCCATAGGCCTTCTCTCCTCTCTCTCTCTCTCTCTCTCCCGGGGTCAGTCAATACGATCGGTTCTGTCCGCTTCTTCTCTCTCGCCTGTAGGCTTATCACATTTTAGTCAGTCCAAGGAAAAAATCAAGTTCTCGGCTGAAAGTCAGGCCGCTATCTCACCGCTATACACATTTGTTTTCAACGTTCGCTGGGCTTTAAGCGCCTTTCCGAGGTCAGCTGAACCTATCCTGGTCTATATCAACAACCCCGTCCAATTCGCAACGCCCAACACAAAGCACCACTATTCCCCGCTCCTCGGTCTAATTTATCTTTCCCTCACTCTACTCTTCAGATCAACCTCATGCCTGCTTCCTGAACTCCAAAGATCAGAGAATTCCAAAGATCGTGGTTATTTTTTCATAAGCTGATCAATATGGTTATGTCAGAAGCCGAAAGGACCATGCTAGACAGCTTTAAGCCTTCCCAGCTTCTCCCAGCACCCGAGGGGACCGTATTAAGTGAATCATGGGATCGAAAGGTTGTCCGTATCAGCGAAGACCGAGTTGTGAAGCTTGGCTTCAGTCTCAACCCCAGCGAAGCAGCGAACCTTCGGTTTGTTAAAGCCAATACTACAATCCCAGTCCCCATGCCCTACGACTTTATCTGGCATAACGACAAGCTCATATCTATTGAGATGGACTATATGCCAGGAGAACCGCTTGACAAAGTTTGGGATTCTATGGACTCTACCCAACGACTTTCCATCGCCAATCAGCTACAAGGTTACATATCGCAGCTACGTGCATTGAAAGGTGACTACATCGGAGCTGCTGAGCGTGGGAAAGCCATCTACGGTTGCCGTATCTCAACTAAATGCGGGCCGTTTGACTCTGAAAAGGCTTACAATGAATGGAGATTGGCCGACGTGTATGACGATGTGAGAAAGACAGTAAAGCCAGCTATATCATTTGCTTTACCAAACGATCATGAGAGCGTCTTCACCCATAACGATATAAGTCCTCGAAATATCCATGTCGATGAAAGTGGCAATATCACGGCTATCGTGGATTGGGAAGCCAGCGGCTTCTACCCCGAATATCAAGAGTACGTCAGGTCGCTCGACCAGCTGGATGACCCTGATGGCTGGCATGACTATCACTCTATCATTTTCAAGGACAAATATGAGAGAGACTACATCTTTTCTTCGTTTGTGAAGGACTGGACGCGACATGAATAACCAGGAACCTTGGCCTGGCACCTGGTAGCAATCATTAGATGTACCAAACACAGTCGATAGACTCAATTTGAAAGTGCCCATTTGAGCAGCAGCCAGTTGTGGGGTCTGTCATAGTGGCTGTACATCCACCGAGCATTACAATAGTTCTGCTGGTCTCTCGCTCCTCATTCTCTTCGGGGTCGAATTTCCAGCCATTGCTCGAGTGCTGAAGGTGCCAACACTTGATACCTCGAGTCGGCAAAAGGAGGCAAAGTGCTACATGACGTTCGTGGTATCGATGGTCTTTCCCGGGCTTGAACACCTGAAACATAATGGTCCCTTGATTTCGCGGGCTACAGATCGAAGGGGAAATGGAATCGAAACGATCGGTGTGAAGAAAGAGAGAGGTAGGGGATATGACCTCACAAAGGAGCAACTTGAGAAACACTAGGGGCTGTTTACCAAAACTTATTCTAGCCCTCAACATGAGTTAAAGAAGCTCCAATACTTTAGAACAGATCAAAATGATTCTCATTTTACAGGAAGCAGGGGGATATAAAAGCAATGATACGGAATACCGAGGGCCATAGACTGCCAAACCAGCATTTTTGGGGACTGAGAGATTTGACGCTCGCGCCATGCACTACTCTTTTGGGCGCTTAGCGGAGGCCTGTGGTTGGTGAGTGCAATCACAAATTTGGGGCCAACAAGACCTCGGGAGTTCCAATCCAATTACGATATCTTCAGCGGGGAAGGGCTATTGGATGAGAATACTGCTTGAGTAAAGTAGTTGATCGGGTTAGGAGAGAAGGGAAGAAGACTAGACTACTAGGTTGACTACTAGAGTGGGCGAATTAGGCAAAAATTGCAAACACGATATTAGACAACCTGACCATTGAGGGTTGAGGGCGTCTCTACTCGCGAGAATGTTGGCGGCAGGAGACGCCGACAAGCCATCATCAACCGAGGAAAAATATCGACAGCATGGTGAAGGGCAGCGTGACGGCGAAGTATATCCATATTCTCGGGTGCGGGTCTGAAAGTTATTGAACATTCATTCTGAATATCAAGGATATCAGAATCAAGGGAAGGAATAGAAAAGCCCGGTAAATGGTCGTCTGGGTTCTTTCAGCCTGGGCCAATATTCTTCTAGAATCTGCAATCCTGATATTGCTCATCGCAATTTCAACAGATTCACTGCATAGCTTTGTAAGCCCCAAGGCCTCCTCCTGCAGAAACCGAAAGTCATTAAGAAGACGATCGGCGAATTGGGCCGCCACCATTGAATCACTGTTGTCTGGCTCTCGCGGTGCATCACAATTCCTCTTAATGATAAAGCATAAGATTTCCTCGAAGTACTGGCTAGCCCTGTCCAGGACCTTTTTGTCTGCGAGCAGGCGCCCTGTCAGATACTCGGGATCACCAGACATGGTTTCATGGGACGCGCGCATGAAGCTGAGAAACTTAGCCCACGAGAGTGCAGAGCTGTCCAGCAGGTCTGCCGCGAAGATAAACCAGTCTTTACTACACATCTCTCGCTCTTCTGGAGACATGGTCTGGTCGGTAGATAAGCGGGAGACAAATGGCTCACGCTGAAGGAGCCGAGGGTCTTTGGTTGAATGTTCTGCAAGCCGACCGTGATCCCAGGTCAATGATGAGTGGCCTGAGATACTGTTAGGATGAAAGTGAACATTCGGCGCCACCTCTAACCAGGGCGGTGCTGCGTTAATTCGACCCAAATCCATGAGCAAAATACCAGACCACCCTTGAGAATCGGTAGATTCATAGTATGGGAAGAACGTGGCATGTTGTTCGACCGAGATGAACCCTGAATCATGGATATTGGCTTCACGAAAGAAGTCCACGCCAACGCGTTCACTCTTCAAATATTCTTCATGGTGAGTCTCCATCTTGTAGGCCAGCCTTTGCGATCGGTCGGTGATGGTATCGCGGACAGGTGGTTGGCGGGATATGATAGATCCCAGGGTGATAAGTTTGACTGTAATGCAGTTGGTGATACGCGACGGTAGAGGCCGTATTCGAAAAGATCTCGAGAATTTGAGATGCTCAAGCATATTTTCGGGCCGGACGTTCAGCTTTTTTCCAATATCGTGAAGCGACGAAACTTCTGGCATACCCTCGATTACGGTAAGAAGACCAGGTGTAGAGGGCTCGAGTAGGTCCAAAATATCATCACCTTCCTTCACTGGGCTTTCCAGCGCTCCAACAACCTTGCTTTCCTCGATATATTTGGAAACTGGGATTGTGAAAGCATCTTCGCTTTGAGTGATGACCCGTGCTCTGCCGCTGGCGGGTGTTATTCCATCGGCCAGAATATCGATGATGTCCTCGTTTTGAGGTTGCTGGTCAAATAGGCCAACTGAAAGCAAGTGTCGAACATTTGTGCCCCAGAATTTGGCCATGGCTGAAATTGATCGATGATGGACAGTCCACAACAGGTTTCACGATATGTGAGAAAGGTTGCCATGTAAAGCAAGACACAGAGACATCTTATATAGAAGTGAAGAATGGCTTTGGTTCTTCGCCCAGGCTGTGCCATTAATCCACATGTATTAACATGGCTGAGCCTCAAACAAATGGGCGGCAACCCGGCGCGAAACAGCCCTGTCAATGCTGCAAAACAACCATACCTCGACCAGGCATCGAAAGAAAAAGAGTGAGGCAACAAGTAGGAGTCAAGAGAACAAGATCTTCGGATTTGTATTGATACTCAAAGGTTGGTCACGGCCCCAAAACGACAGCGGGTAAACCTCCTGCTATACCCAAAGCGGGACTAGGACTGATGGGTCTAACGACTCATAGGGTCAGAACTGCTCTAGGTAGATGGGTGCGTGCTCTCAAACATTCTTTCTCTCGTCCTTTCTCTCTGTCTCTCTTTGGTCTCAGCAGACTACGCTGTACTGCCCTGCGTTTCAAATGTTCTCTCTTTTCCTCCCGTGCCCAACACTACCAACTTATAGAAAGTAGTGAGCTATATTGAATGTCATTCTGAATAGTAACCTGAAACTCATGACAAGAAGTAGCATGGGCCGCTCCTCCAGGACGGGCTCCCAGCCAGATACTTGTCGAGCAATACTTCTACAGTTAACAGAAAAAGCCTTCCTATATTGAAAATACTATCACAATATGAATAATCAAGTGAATATTTCCTTCCATATTCAAGAACTAGTAATGACCTTAGCCTCTAAACATCAGCTGACGCTCCTTCTTCGTCCTCGCCTTCCTCTTTCCAAAGTTGTTCCCTCTTTCTCTCTCTTCACATCTCAACAGCTTTGGTCAATCCTTCCCCCTTTACATTTCTCTCTGCACCTTCTCAATGGGATGCTGGTAAGTTCGATTTGCCTTTCATTCTTTTTGGCTTGATTTGTCAATAATTTACTAACCGCCTGCTTTTCTTATGATAGAAGCGTTGCCAGCGACTCAGCCAGTCAACCAGGCAAAGGGCGCAGTGGCAATCGTGGGGAAGCCAGTGACACTGCGAGGGTGAGGAATGTCACACTAAACATCCAATACCACATCTCGTGGTCACGCCCAGCATTAACCGGCGCTCGGTTTGGATGCACTGACCAGTATGCGAATCATTCCACGCAGTGATCAAATGCGGCAAGCTTCTAACTATTTCATAGGGAGTTCCTCGAATGGAAACCAGCCAATACTGTGTGAATGGTAAGTTCAGCTGAGAGTAGACTGATCAAGTGAAATCTAGTACCATGATCTATATATCATTTACCTGTCATGATATATGTACCCTACGAGGATTCTTATACTTGAGCCCTTCCTGGACCATTGATGCTTGCGCATGCTAACCAAGCTATTCTCGCAGGCTGATTCCTTCACTTCTTCACTTTAGAGCTGTTGGAGCCATGCTCCAGGAAACAAGCCGGAGCGTCTGGGCAGCAATTCAGATGCCTGTTTTTACTACCAAGAAACAACACTTATCCTAGCATTTTTCTACTTTGTCGTGTGCGCACGTAAGTTTGGCCTTCCCTTCCCCTTTCCTTCGGCTTTCTTTGAACTTTCAAATGTTCGGACAACGTCGATCTCAAACATAGGAGACTTGATAGCCCTCAATACTTGACTTTGTGGATTATTTCTGCTTTACCCTTGGCTCTTCAGGGTTTGTTTGACAATGTTGTACTAATCGTTTGCTTCCATTTGAATAGGCGCCCTCCCACCAGAATGGCCCCGAGGGATTCACTCGCTACTCACTTTGCAAATTTCACTTCACTTCTTTCCAAATTTCTTGAACCATGGATCGTCGTACCTCCGAAGCTACTGGTGGAGAAGAGGGTCATGGGGGAATTGGTACGTTTGGGAGCCGACAGGGTGTGATGCCACAAGTCACTGTTCAGTACCGCATTCTGTGGTTCTTTGGAATTTGGGGATTTGGATGGCTTTTAACTTCGGCATTCGCCGATAAATTGATCGGTATGTGAAATATTACAAACAGTGATCAAGTTGGGTAACTTACTAACGACTCTATAGCAAACATTCCTATCTATAGCACCTTCGCCTTCTCCACCTGCAAATCACCAAACCTCACCGGCATTGTCCCAGAATAAAAGAAACGGACAAACAGACAGAGGGGGCTTACTGGCTCGATAGTCCTCCGTGACGGTGATGGGGGTATCCCATCCGCGGTGAACATCTGATCGCGAATGGAAATCTGTCAACGAAAACTCGAAGCCGCAATACCAGCGCTTCCAGGGTCACTATGAATGACAACAAAGGAGGGAAGACGGACTTTGACAAGGTCAATTAATGGTAAGTTGAACTGAGACCAGGCTGATCAAATACCTAGCATCACGATCTATGTATACTTTCCCTATGAGGACCCTCATACTCGACCCCTTCATGAAGTATTGACCCATGTTTATACTAACCAATGTTATCATAGGGGCCCGCCCATTTCGACGCGCCTGAAAGGCCCTCGAGCAAAAAGAAGAAAATGAACAATGTGAAGCCTCATCCAGAATGTGGCACCTTTCACACGGTGCCCCAGACCCACCTCGAGCTATGGACATGTGCCCAACAGCGTATGGGATTACTGGATACAGAGAGCAATGTGCCTCATTGGTATGGGGCAATTCAAAACTTCCGTCAGGGGGTGAACATGGTGGGGCGTTTCATGGTCCCGCCATACGAGGCTCAACCCAATGTTCAAACAGAGGATCCTGGTCGAAACCTTCAGACCTGACGACCGACAGTCACCTCTCGAAGCAGACGGGATGCAATATCGAAGGATAGTCTTCACTCACTCCTCCTCTTCTCAGGTGTGAGCGGAAACATGCCCTTACAACTCCTCTTCCAAACGGCCTACACATCAAAGCCCAAAGAGGGCTCTGCCTGTGCGGCAGAATGGTCGAGTGATGTGTAAAAACGAAGGATGAAGAGTTCCAAGAGACAGTCATCGACGTTCTAAGGAACGGGGGAACAAATCATCCCAAGCTGATTGCCGCTCACATCGACGATACAACAATAGGTGCGTACCTTATATACCCGGCGCGGACCTCAGATGAAACGCCCACGAAATCCCTTCCACTTCGCGGTGGCCGCCGCGCTAGGCATTGACTATTTCAAAAAATTCGAAATATTCAATTGGAAACGGGCATCGGGTACCTGCCAAAGTTCAAAAAGAGCGATGATAACAGAGCTCAGAAGGATATGGAAAATGGGTTGGGCAAGCAACTGCCGAGAGCTAATCGGCCATACCAAAAGTTCATGAACCGACTGAATCATGCAGCACCGGCGCATGAAAGACGGATTTCCCAAATTCCCAAATCCCAGAATTCCACATCGAGAATTTCACGTGGTCCACCTATATTATTAGCTAGCAAGCAAGAGACTTGATAGGGCATTCCTCCCTCTGTGATTCACGTGGAGCAACCCCGGTCGCTGCTGGACTACGCGCAGGAGAGCGGCCGCGCCGATCGTGATGGCAAGCCGGCTGAGGCGCTCGTGATCCACCCCAAGGACCACAGCCCCGCCAGCCACCGCGCAGGGGATGAGGAGGACCGCCTGGCGGTGTTCCAGTACCTCACCGCGCCCTGCTGCCGCGTCGCTCTGGACCACTACCTCGACGGGCCGGTCGAGGGCTACTCGCGCACTCGCTGTCGGAACGTGGACCTCCTCGCCCATGTTCAGATTTCACTCGTCCTCGAATTCTCAAATTCACTGTTTCCTATCGACATTCTTGCGTAGGTTGTGGATAAAGAATATATCCCCAACATGCGTTCGGGAATTCTCCTTGGACAAAGATCCTTCATCGAACTACTCCAGTATCGATCAGTTCCGCGGGCAGTATTGGAGGCTAGAGGTGAGCTAGTTGACCAAAGCTTGTGGGGAGATTTAGCTGGACCCTGTCACATGGTTCCCGTTCTTCTTTTTAGTTAGCGAGCTACGAGCTCAGAATGAACCATTCTTCCCTCTCCTCGCTTTTCCTGCGTACTGTAGCTGATACCTACGGTCCGCCTTACATTCACTTGATCTCGGTAGCCTTGCGACAGCTCTGACCTCGTCTTATGCTGCGTTCCCAATTTCTTTCTCTGACTCGGTTGAGGTGACATGGACTAGAGCTCATTTTGGGAGAGAACAACAGATGCTGCGAACCTGCCTGTGGGAATTCACCTTGCTATGCAAGTGCTGAGGCGCCTTCAACTACGCGCGAGCCTACTGTGAAATACAATGGTGTTTTGTTTAGGGCCTGATTTGAATACAATCATACCCATCCCAGTTCTAATCTCTTACTCTGTAGATCTATATATGCTGGATGTCTTCCGGGGTGAATTTAGAAAACTCGGAAGACATCGAGGGATTAGTAGATATTTAGAACTTGGAACGAACAACTTCAGAAGAGATACTCCTACCTTGGACTTGACGTTGGAAAAGACTACACAAGAAACTACAAAATTAATGTAAAGTAAAGCTCTCAGAAAAAGATTCATATTTCATCGGTCAGAGACCTTATATGGACAGTTCATTACAGCGTGTCAAGATACAACGCGACATACAACCGGGACGCCCAACATCCCCGGCGCCACAACGCTTTTTCGGCCGCATGAAGAGAGGATATGAGGGTAATCAAAACAAAAAAAGGGAAATCAAAAAGAAATCAACATTTAAAGCTGACCAGCAGTGTTGAAGTCGGCAAGAGCCTCCTGGACACGAACAGACATAGTCTTCTCACCCTCGCGAACCCAGTTACGGGGATCGAAGAACTTCTTGTTAGGCTTGTCGGCGCCATCGGGGTTACCAACCTGGGAGAGGAGGTAGTCCTTGTTCTTGAGGACGAAGTCACGGACACCAGTGAGGTAAGCGTACTGCATGTCAGTGTCGACGTTGACCTTGACGACACCGTAGGAGATGGCTTCCTTGAACTCGGCCTTGGAGGAGCCAGAGCCACCGTGGAAGACGAAGAAGACGGGCTTGTCGGACTTGGAGCCGATTTGCTCAGCGACGTACTTCTGGTGCTTGGCGAGGAGCTCGGGGTGCAGCTTGACGTTGCCGGGCTTGTAGACTCCGTGCACGTTACCGAAGCCGGCGGCGATGGAGAAGTAGGGGGAGATGGCGCTGAGGGCGTTCTGGATGGCCAGGATGTCCTCGGGCTGGGTGTAGAGGGAGTTGTTGTCAACGTCCTCGTTGTTGACACCGTCCTCCTCACCACCGGTGATACCGATCTCCTATTGGTTTGTTAGTACTGTTTTTTTTTTCTTTTTTTTTCTTAGGTTCTGGGTTTTTTCAGAACTTACCATCTCGAGCCACTGCTTCATGGGAGCAACACGCTTGAGGTAGGCGGCGGTGGTGTTGATGTTGTAGTCGACAGGCTCCTCGGAGAGATCGATCATGTGGGAGGAGAAGAGGGGCTCTCCGTGGAGCTTGAAGTAAGCCTCATCGGCATCGAGGAGACCGTCCAACCAAGGGAGGAGCTTCTTGGCGCAGTGGTCGGTGTGGAGGATGACGGGGATACCGTAGGCAGGGGCCACGCTACGGATGTAGTGGGCAGCGGCGATACCACCAGCAATGGAGGCAGTCTGGTCACCGTTGGCAACACCCTTACCAGCGAAGAAAGCAGCACCACCCTGGGAGAGCTGCAGGACAACGGGGCACTTCTGGTCACGGGCAGCCTCGAGGGAAGCAACCACGGTGGAAGAAGAGGTCACGTTCTAGTCGGTGGTTAGTTTTCAGTATGATTTAAGGGGGCTTAGAAATGAGACTCACGATGGCGGGGATGGCGAACTGGTTGGCCTTGGCGTACTCGAAGAGACGCAGGACATCGTCACCGACGATGACGCCGGACTTGCGGGAAAGTTGCTCGAGGACACCCATTGTGAATAGATTTGAAGAAAAGTAGAAAACTGAAGAGAAGAGGAGAGGTTAGAGTACAAGTACAAATAGTAAAAGCTCAGTGCTTTACCGGGAGGCCGAAAGCGGGATTTAAAAGGGGAGGGGCAATGGAGGGGCTCAGCGCGTCATCGGTGAAGAAGAAAAGGACTCACCGGTTCTGTGGAGCTGGTGGAACTGTCGACTGAGGTCAGTATGATTTCAAGAAAGAAGAGAGGAGGAAAGAGTTTCAGGATCTAATTGACGCTTTATGTATGGCCCGGTGCGCTGTATCCCGGACTCCTCCGTCGGGTACGGCTTCACCTAGCTCTATTCGGGTATTCTTGTCTTCCTCTACAGAGTGTATACACGAGGGATATTTATTAGTTATTTGATTATTAGAGCAACGATCGTCTGTCTTATATGCCTGTACTCCAATTGGGTAATTTTACTATAGTATAATGAAAGACTTCGAGGAAGTAACTACAATTTTAGAAGTACTTGAGTACGAGCATCACCTCCGTGTTTTGCTCGTGGCGGGGAGCCGAGGAGTTCGAGGCCTTTCGGCGATTTTCTTCTTCCACTAATAGTATACAGAGCTTATGTTTAGCCGGGATATTCTTCAATCCGGTCAGAGCAGTTCCATAAACCAGCTATAATGAGCTATAACCAGTTCTAACCAGCTCTAACCAGCTTAACCAGCTATACTCGTAATGAGCTGTGTGAAACCAGGTGTATAAGACAATGACGTCATCAGTCTCCCAACGAAAATATCTTCCGTTAACTTTGGACTAACTTATACTACTATCATATACAACATATACTATTAACTATAGCATGGTTTCTACAAAGAACATACTTAAGTATATACTATACTGATCACTTTATACGGGTATAGATATGTACATATATCCCCGTACTCACTCCACCTTCTCCAACTCGTAGAACAAGAGATACACCTCACGCTGCATCCCCAGGACGTCCGAGGTCTTGCATTCCTTGATCTTTTCGTCCGAAATGCGCCACCACCGATCAATCGGCTTGCGACGGCGACGCAGCCGCGAACTGACCCCTGGCACATCAGGGCGGGGTATACTGCGGGACCCGCGCGGGGCACTGGGGGTCTCGGACGGCGAAGAAGTCTTGGTACTGACAGAATGGCGGGAGCCAGCAGTCGTAGGGCGAACGGGTGTGAGTTGGGGCACGGAGCCGGAGAGAGAGGTGGACGAGGTTGCAGGGGAGAGGGTGTCGGGGTCTGGACTGCTGCGGGGGATGATGCGTGGGCTGGGTGCGGTGGAGGGACTTTGGCTGGCGGTGCGGCTTTGGGCGTAGGAGCTGAAGGCGCCGGGGGTGGAGAAGGGAGGGTAGATGTGGTTGCGGCGGAAGGATTCGTAGTGGCCGCTGTGGTGGCTGCCTTTGTGGCAGACGATGGCAAGGAGTTTATACCACTTTTGAGTGAGGAGGCCACCTAGTGGGAGGCGCTCTGGGAAGGAGACTTTGGCGGCGTTCTTGCTGGAACTGCTGCGGTCGAAGATCGATCGTGATAAGTGGATTGCGATGACCTTGGGGAAGGCTGTTATCCGCATGTGGCGGGCGATTCGGCGCTTGGGGACACTCTCGGAGGGTGGGAAGGTGATGCCTTCTAGTTCTGCCTCTGGATCGGTCTCGATGGCTTCCCGGAGACGAGCCAGTTCTTTCTCCAGGCGATCACGATCGCCTTGGGATCGAACACGGGCAAGCTCCTTGCTCTTGACATCCACGGCATGCTGCAGACTGCACCGATCACAGCGGAAGTCTTCAATATATTCCGTTTTCAACAGCCCGTCAAAACACGAGCCCAAAGTGGTCGAACTCTTCTGCGGCACCTGCAGTGTCAAATTGACGAATGCCGTCTGATTGGGTTTATACTGATAATGACAGAACTGACACTCGATCTGGGATTCCATTTTGCCTTCAAAAGGAAACCCAGATTCCTGGTCAATTTCCTTCAATTTCGTATCAATAATAGCAGGCAATCCATGCACACTACCATCATCAATCCGAACCTCAACTTCAGACGAGCTCTCCTGCGAACTGCCCTCTGCACTCACAGCGCTACCCAAGGCCCGTTTCCGCGCCCGCACTCCAGCATGATACTCATCACACAATCTCTCCAGCACAATCTGCAGAAATTCCTGCGCATCCTGCTGATTGCGACTGATTCGAGTGCGGAACGCGTACTCCAGGGCCTGGATGAAGTCGCGTGCAGAAATGGTCTTTTTGTAGATGGGTCGCTCGTTCAATCGGTCTAGCATTTCCTTCAATGCCCTTGTTGTAATCCCCTGTTGCAATTCTCGCAATTTGTCCGTCTGCCCGGCTGACAATTCATCGTCGCTGGCTACTGTTTGGTATGTGTCTGGTCCGTCGAGTTGGCGTCGGTGCAGTTCGTGGATCAGGTAGACTCGCAGATCGCCTAGGCCGGCTAGTGCCTGGAGGACGGAATTGATGAAGCAGTCATTGGCCAGGTTGGATAGGCCGACGATGCTTTTTTTCCGGTTGCTGTCGTTCGACTCGTCGCCGTCGATTGTGTAGTTGGGACCGAAGACGTAGAACAAGGCCACGGCCGCGAGGGACGCCCCGGCCGCGTAGGCGGCTACGGTGGTGGGCTTCTCTTGCATCGTGGAAGGGAAGGTCTCGGCGGTTGGGGCGGAACAGGCAGGCTTATCTCATTGCCCCATCGTAATGTTCCGTGGTGAGCAAAGGTGAGATGACGCGAGTCGTGCGAGTCGGGGGGTTTTTTGGTTGGAAGCCTATAAGGCGTGAAGGGCTGAAGGGATTGAACGGGTTCGGCCGGGGAAACAGAGTGGAGCGACGTTGATGCGGAGAAACGCTTCATCGGAGAAATCCTGTGCCAAACAGGGCAAAATCCCCATCGACTCGGTGGATTTCAGCACATCAGGCTAAGAAGGACACCAATCGCACATTCCTCTTGGCTCCAGGCACCGTTGCAGTGGATAAGATGGACTCGGACTCGCCGGATGTCCGTCTGACTCCCCGCAGATGGAAGTCTGGGGAAGAGCCACGTTTCAGCATTCTTAATTTCAGGCCATTGCTGCTCAAGTGTAAGGTGATAACCTTGGAAGTTGAGGGAACTTTAGAAGTCTTCTTTGTAACTGCCGGGGTCTCATGTTTGTACTCGGCTTACTGCGGCAGATCTCATTTGCCCATTCCTAAAATTCGGCCTTTGGCAGACTTCATCAACTTTAGAAATACTTAAGTAGCGACTGAATTTCGGATTGGCTGATGTTATTTCAATGGAAATTATCGCATCTCCATCTTGACTGGTCGCTTATCCAGGTGTTGTACCGAAAAACGTCCGACCGCAGTTTTACAGTTGTTCTAGAAACAGCGTAGAAATATATATGCCAACCGAAAAATCCAATTCATCAATCTTAGATCATGCCACTCTAGTGACTTTTATATTGTTCCAATTCAAGCTGGAAATCAAATGCACCAATCAGGTACTTCTAAAGATATCAAGTCTACAGGCTTATGCCAGGAATGACTTGGGGAGGGTAGCCACCTTCTCGTCGAAGAGCTCCTCAGCCTGCTTCCAGACACGAGCATTGGAACGGTCGTTGAGGGTCAGAAGGCTGGGGAGGAGGGCAGCGCTGAACATCTCGGAGCTCTCGCGGGGAAGCAGAGAGGGGAGGTGATCGATGCTGATCACGCTCAGAGCAGGGCCGTCCTTGAGGCCGGTGACGGGGACGGTGGGCTTATCGAAGGTGGTGGTGATATCGTACAGAGGGATGGGGTTGAAGGGGTTGGAGCTGTCAAGGTTAGTTTTGGGCTAGTGAAGGGCCGGCTTGTAGGGTACTTACGTATCGGCGCTGACGTCGCAGATGACGGAGAGGTTGCGGTTGGGGCTCTTGGAGAGGGATTCGATGTTGACGAAGGCTGGTCATTTCATGTTAGTTATTGGCCATGCACAAGCCACAGGTAAACGGTCGACAGTCTCCGTGCTGGCATTATACTGGAGAAAAACTCACGGTTAATCTTGCTGGACAAGTAGATGCAGTTGACGAAGATGTCGGACTCGGCAATCTCCTCGAAGGGGCCCCCTATCGGATATCAGCATTGTGTCGGACACCTTGATGTGAATCAAACATACCCTTCTTAGTCTCTGCCATATCCCACTCAACAATGTTAGAAGTGGGGATGCCGACATCCTTGGCCAGCTCGACGGCACCGCTGCCGCAACGACCGAGCTATTGCACCGTCAATAAACGTACAAGAAATCATGAACCAACGAAACTCACCGCTCCAATCACAAGAATTTTAGGGGCCTTGCCAGCAACCTTGATGCCGGCCTCGAGAGACTCCTTCACAGAGGCAATCAAAGCATCCTTGTTGGGGTAGGGAACCTCACCAGGCAAGGTCTCGTTGGGGTGAGTCAATTGCCAAGCCCAGTTCTTCACAGCCAGAGCAGATCCTAGTCATCTTAGTATCCGATTGTTTCAGGAAACGAGTGTCGTGATAAAATACCTGCGTAACCGGCGGACCATCCGAAAGCTAGAAACAAGCTGTCAGTAATATGCAATCAAAGACATCTCAGGGATCATACCGGCAACACGACGACCAGAGTCATCAGTCAAGAACTCCAGATCGAGCAATGTGCCCTTTCCGCGGGGCCAGCGGCTCAGAACACTCTCCCAGCCACCCTGCTGCTTGAAGCAGTGGGCGAAGGTGACGTGAACGTGCTCCAGAGGGAAGTCCTCCTCGGGAAGCTCCTTCAGGCCCAGAATGACGGCATCCTTGGGTGCGTCCTGGACCCAGGAACCCTCTGCCACGAGAGGAGCTCCAATCTATCGCAATTGGTATCGGGGTGTTTGCGCGGAGAGGACGAGACATACCTTGGCGAATTCCTCATCTAGAATAAACAGTTAGTCGGTTGTTCATTGCAGGACATTCGTTCACTCGTCAATTCACTTACCATCGAAGATGCGCTGGGTAGACCGCTCAACGGTCACATCGTATCCAGCATCAATCAATGCCTTGCAAGTAGTAGGAGTCACTAGATGCTGTTAGTCTGCTACCCCACTACTCCAAACGGCATTGGAGCTCTCACAGGCAGACCGCGCCTCAGCGGGCTTAGTCTCAGCGCGCAACCAAATCTTCTGTCCAGCCATTGTGAATAAAATAAATAGACAATTGTAAAAAAAAAAAAAAAGAGTCACTATCTCCAAAAGACACAAGAGTCAAGTGATAGCGGGGATGGAGAGGGTTAATCCGCTCCGAATGAGTCAGTGTCCGAAATCGGCCCGTGCGCAGGCAAGGGGGTTTATGACGTGATGGAACTCTCGCATTTCTGTCTTAAAACTACGGTCAACTCTGATATTTGAGGAGTTTCCAATACAAATAATCCTTGAAACATGATAGCTAAACAGCGTCACCAACTCAAGTGCCCTTGGTTTGACTGCGAGTGCGCCGGCCAATGCCATCCGGGATGATCTTGTGCATGGCATCCTTAATCTTCTCCTTTTTGGGCCGACTAGCCTTCTTCTGTCCATTATCCGCACCGGAAGTAGCGCCATTAGACTTATCCGCAGCTGGCTCATCTGTCTTCAGCTTTTTGGCATCGCGCTCATCAGATGGTTCAGGTTCAGATTTCTCCGGTTCTTCAGCCGCAGGAGGCCATGTCGAGGTTGAATCCAGATTGCGTTTCTCGCCAGGTTTTCCCCCAGCGACTACTTCGTCCTTGGGTCCGACTGAGATCTTCGATTCACTAGCTTCTGGAACATTACCCACTGGAGAGGTCTCTTGAGGTGCCTCTGTTGCGGGTTTTGTTTCTGTGGTAGGTTCGGAGGGTTCTGCGACGGCGGATGTGGGCGCTTCGGCGCTGGGTGGCTCAGTGCTTCCCGCGACTGGTTTGTCCATAGTGTCCGGTCCTAGCAGTGGCTGGCTATCGGTTTGGGTATAGTTGGGCCTGTTCTGGAATGCATGCGAGTGTTCCTTGACCAGCTGGGCAGTCTCTGTATCTCCATATTAGTCTCCAGTATGCTCGTCAAATGAGCCTCTGCGATATGCAGTCTGCGAGTATTCAAATCGGCGAATAGTATTGGTCGATTCTGACCAATGATTTTCCCCGTAGTGCATATGCAAATGTGAAGACGTACCGGATGCGGCATGGCTTTGCCTGGAAGCTGAATCAGTGGCCATTGTGAAGGATGTGAGATATTCTGATTAAGTTGAAAACGACGAGAGTGGTTTGCGACAAAGAGGAGACGAGCTCGGTTTTGAGGTGAGGTCGCGCGGTGACGTACTTGTCCCCGTTGCGACGCTAACGACTGATTCGCTCAGCTCTGTTTTGTCGCACAACTTGGACCTCTCGCCACTCCCCCGCATACCTTTCGGTTCCACTTCTTTCGAGGCGCAATTAGCGTGATATTGAGCTGAATACTGTCCCGAGTGCTCTGGGCTTCAATGACCCAGATGATCAGTCTCAGTCTCAGTCTCGAGTACGAGGCATTTGGAAGCAACACACCTAGCAAGACTGTGCTTGATGCTCTGGACTTTCGACTCGATCTTGTTCCCGTCCAAATTCGTGAAAGTAATCCCGAGGTTCCAGACTCACAGGGGGAGCTATGCTGACAGCTGCCAACCACTGGCAAGTGTAAAAAGATGGACTTTCCAAGGGAAACTCAATTCCTCACTCTAAGCTCGGATTTCATTGCAGTTTATATTCGTTTACTTAAGACTTGCACCAAGCCTTGGAAAACGCAGGTGATGAGATGCACAAAAATACTGCTTGCATGCATATGCATATGTCAAACCCACCTGGCCTGGCATCATTTGGGACTCACTTGCAATTTCAGATGGCCTGTCTGCCTCTCTAAAAGTAAATCTTGCCAATGCAGGCAGCGAAGATGAATGGAAAGTCTAGTAGTTTGTTTGCTTGCTCGATGTAAATGTAGACATTTTGGAATCGCGTGAGTTCACTTTCTTCTCAACTCACGCAGTATCACACTTTCATCAGATCTCGGTCAGACACAACCCTTTTCTCTCTTCTCCACTCTTGCAGTGCCTTCCATCATCGCACAATCACCAACTACCACCACGATGATGGCTTACATCCTCAAAGTCCCTGACTCCACTGGGCCACTCGAGCTCCCTCGAGACAACAGTTACCGTCGATGAAGAGACCCGTATTCTTTATGAGTCTATTCTTTACGTTCGGCGTCTAGCTCAGTCTGCTGGGCTTTCAGACTCCCAATGGAAGGCGCCCCACGACCGTACTTGGCGCGAGGTTACGAGAGCAATGAGCGTGAACCAAGGAGCTGGTCTGCCTTCTGAAACCACTTTCCATCTACCGCAGCTTAAGCCGCTTTTCTCACTTCACGTCATGGATCATTTACATGGACGACATTAAGAGCAGCTACACCAACGGTAATCAATATTACTCCATGTGGTACAAAATGGTATATTGCCACTTGTTTCCACATGGCTTGCACTTGTTGATTGATCACAACGTGCCTCGACCGCTTGTCGATGATTCTGTTGAGCCTAGGGGACGAGAGAGAAGAAGCGGACAGAACCGATTGTATTGACTGCGGAGAGAGAGAGGGAGAGAAGAAGAGAGAAGTGGGTAGCAGATCTATCTACAAACGAGGGTTGGGAC